CTCCCATTTAGAGGGGAGAATACCCCTCCACTAGCCAGTAAGCTACATCAAGAATATCTCATAACATTGTCTTTTCTCTTTTGCAGGAATGGAACAAGGATGGTTTTGGGGGGTTCTTCTTCGGGCAAGTTAATACCTTATTATGTTTGGGGGGTTAATGTTAAAGCTCTTGTATGTTCAATTTATTCTGGAGCAAAGAACCCCCATAGGAACCATACCGCCAAAGATAAATTGTGTTCATTAAACTCAAGTAACTTGCCAAAGTGGTCCTGTCTGAAATCGAGCTCAGCGTTAGTTCAGTCAGGCCACGTAGGCATAGGCTGCGACCAGCTGATGCAGTCAGCTGTCAAATCACTCCAATCACTACTATTCTCCTATTAGACACGGGACATATACACGTGGCATTACTGCTCGGTAAGTATGCTCAAACTGCTCGCAACCCTCCCTCCCTCCCCATTTTAAGCATAAGCAGATTACTGTGCACCTTCTGGTTGTCGTCTTCTTTTGTTTCAGATCACTAAGGCTTCCAAGTCCCGGCTACCATGGACCTCACTGCTGAGAGACTCTCATCCTCATAACCAAACTACAGTATAGAAGTTCCACTGCACATATAGCCTACACGATTACCACCGTTCGCTTTTAAAGACATTTCTAAGTGTCTTAATTGTATGTATTTCCAAGCTGATGGTTCCGGGGGTTAATGTTAAAGCTCTTGTATGTTCAATTTATTCTGGAGCAAAGAACCCCCATAGGAACCATACCGCCAAAGATAAATTGTGTTCAATACACTCAAGTAACTTGCCAAAGTGGTCCTGTCTGAACTTTGATTAACACAGTCGCTCAACATGTTGAGGGACTAAAACAACAATTGGGCCGTTATTTCACTGAGGATTTCAGTTCATTTGCTTGGGTCAGAGATCCCTTCAGTTGCCCAGGAAAAGACCTTCCAGTTGACATGGGGGAGCAGTTAGTCGAATTAAAGAGCGACTGTCACAGTCTTCAGCGGGTGTGCCCAGGAGGGCCACCAGATGACTGTGTTCTGGGAGCACATGGCTTGTGTTTGTCTGTTGCCATGTGCTCTCTCCTGTCTAGTGTCTGGCCCCTCCCATCTTGTTACCTCGTTATTGTTTAAGTTGCTCCACCTGTGTCTCCCTCGTTAGCCTCCTCGTTTGGTTCCTATTTATTCTCCTGGTGTCTGTCATCCTGTGCTGATCCGTCATTTCTCATTGTGTGTGTTATATGTCTGCATGGAGTGCAGTTTTGAGCCTGCCTGTCTGTTTTCCCCCCTCGGGGTGGTTTGAGTTTGTTTTTTGTTTCATTTTTATTATTAAAATAAATAACCATTTCTCCTGCAATTGAGTCCTCGCTTCATCTCCCCGCATGCAGCGTGACAGAGATACCTCTACAGCTCTTCCTCTCTGCCGTAATTTTGGTTGAGCGCGATGCCTGAATATCCTCAGTTATCTGACAACGCTGTAAAATTACTTCTTCATTCGCCTCAACTTATTTGTGCAAGGACGGGTTTTCAAAATTGACAGCTTTGAAAACAAAGTACCGAAATCGGCTAGTTAGTCTAATTAGCATACCCATACCTTTCATTTCAATTTTGTGCATACAGTAGAAAATGACATACTTAAACTTAATTATTTCATTTGATGACTTCTAGATTATAGTCCTAGTCATGGTCTTTTTCAAAAGACATTTAGGCACTTTTTGAAGAATTAAAAGCAAGCAGTAATGTAACTGAAATTAAAACAACATTATAGAAGCTTACAATTATTTTAAAGAAAATAAAGTAAAATTAAATAAGCAGTTAACTCAAGCAAAAACGTTTCACGGTGTCAGTGTTGTCAGTTAGGCTGTTCTAAAAAGGCTATTTCAAAATAATTATTAAACATCACTGTTGTTAACTTAAACACTATTTTTTCTGCTCCTCTTCTTTGCATCGCTTCCTGCATTGTGCCCCTGATAATTTTCTTTTTTCACTAATTTTTTAGGAATTATACTTTAAGAGCACATACATGGCAAAGATATTGTTTTAACTTCGTGCGCCATGCATAATTAATGTATTATGATGATGTATTATAATTACGTCATGACGCAAAAATTGTTTAAATTAGTCCAACATGACATGTTGTCAAATCTTATGATTT